TCCCCATGTTGCAAACGCATGTTTTAAGAGTTTCGGATGTTTCGTAGGTATGTTTCAAGTGTTACATGCGGATGTTGTAAAAGTAGATCCGGATGTTGCATATGTTGCAATGATTTACACGTATGTTGCAAGTGTCTGTTCCTAATGTTTCATCTATTTTTTCAGACGTACGTTGTAAGTGTGTTCATCTGGATGTTGCATATGTTTCACACATATGTTGCAGTGATTTATTTAGATGTTGCATATGTTTGCAATTGTTTTTGTATGTGTTGTGTTTCAAATATATTTTGAACATTTCAGCTATTTAAATGCACGTATGTTGCAATTGTTTCATTTGGATGTTTCAAAAGTAGATTCGAGGTGTTGTGCATGTTGTTGCAATGTGAGCCACTTGCCACTTCTTTTACTGCCTGCTCTGCAGCCTGCTAGGGCACCGTGCATGGAGGGCGGCACAACACTGAGGCGTGAGGGGCATGGGAAGTGTGGGGAGTGGCGTGGCGAACCCCCGCCTAAAAGGCAAGCAGTGTATGGCCGGTATTTGGGGTGGCGTTGTAGCAATCAAGTAGTGTACCTATTATCATAAAACAATCAAGTAGTGTATGTTCATCATCACAATATAATGGGTGTTTTGATCCTAGGAGAAATTAGCACATAGTGTAATAATGGGCTAAACATGAGCTAATAAGAACTAATGGGTTCTAACCACCGATTAGCCTCATTGGCTCATATTAGCATATGATTATATTAAGCTCATGTTTAGGTCTTGTATATATGGAACCTAAAACCCAGGACTATTTTTTTAGCATTATATTGGATCTAAACACTCCCTAAGTATATGTTAGTTACTAACCTAGCTAAGCCAGGGGGTCTTCTAATTGAAGAAAGAAAGAATCTAGCTAATACATATTTGCTTAGAAACTAAATTTATCATAGTCAACAGGGAGGTGATGAGGCAATATTTGCTTGAAAAGGTTATCCCAGCCATCAAAGATAAGTGGCCACAAGAAGACGCACACAAGACTATTTTCATTCAACAAGACAACGCTAGAACCCATGTTCGTCTAAATGACCTAGCTTTTCTCGAAAGTGTGGCGGCTACTGGTCTAGACATTAAACTAATGCAACAGCCAGCAACAAGAAAGAAGATGAAACCTCTCGCTTGCTTGCTGGTTGTCGTGTCGTATGGGGCGCCGGCCGGCCGGCCTGTTGCTGGTTGTCGTATATGTCGCACGGCTGGGCCGGTATCTCGGGCCGCGGCGCCTGCGTGCTCCTCAGTCGTCGTCGTCGATCGGTCTCTGTCGCGCTGCGCCTGCATGTGGCCAGCATGTCCCTGTCCCGTGTCCACGATCGACTAGCTCATCAGCTCCCGGTCGTGTGGACGCACGGGCACGCCAGCGCGCTTGCATGCATGCATCATGCTTGCCGATCGAGCTGCTGATCGACCTGAAAGCTACAGAGCATGGTGCGTCGACCCGACGGCCACTGTGAGAGATGAGACGACCAAAGCTACTGGCGCTGGCTGTGTGGTGTCTGGTGTGGCCGTGTGGGACGACGACAATGACGAGCAGGTACCATCGACGGACGACATGTCGACATGCATGAACGGATCAACGCATACACAACTTCCTCTCTAGTACTACTGGCTAGCTAGTCTCTCAGCTACTGGCTAGCTAGTCTCCGTCTCGGTCTCCATCTCTAGTGCATCGAGACATGCACACATGGAGATGGAGACGACAGACGACCACGAGACAACGAACGAAGTGGCGCCACTGATCTGAAATGATGGATCCATGCTACGGGAAAATCATGGTGGCCGAGCACGCATGTGCAGTGCAGTTTCAAGTGCAACACACACACACACACACAGAGCATGGCTGATGGCTGCTAGTGCCCCCAGCTGATACGTACTGAGTCGACGATGCAAAACACTTTGCAGCTGGGTATACGTGCGTGGAGGTGCTGTGCATGTGGGCAGGGCCGTCCCAACAATTTCTAGGGCCCTTGGGCAAGGAAGACAATGAAGTCCTGGCAATCTAATATTTTAATATCACGAGATTGAACTATATAGTACTACTGGTAATAAGAGTTAACTCGCACTCGCCAAAATATAGTTCATTAAAAAACGACATTACATCAAAGAAGCTTAAAGAATGGTGAAATCACAGAAACATGAAATGACTTAAAATTTAAAACAAATTATGGGCAGCCTGCTGCCTGTGGCATGTCCATAAGTTCCTTGATGAATTAAATAATTAAACTAATAGATCAACAATTCGCTGCACTATCGCTTGATGCCTGTATGTATTGGATTGCAAGGTAAAAAAGAAACTGATGTTTTCAGATCGAACAAACAATAAATACTGATGAACTAAAACCATAATCACTTACCGCAGAGAGTCGGGGACAGGGATGAAGGGACTGCAGCGTAGCTGGGTTAGTGGGCGCCTGCTGGGATCCCAGGATTCCAGATTACGGAAATCGGGATTTCAGGATTTGGGAACGCCGGAACAGCCGCCGCGGCGCAACAGCATGCATGCTTTGACGCGGAGTCTCGAATAGGAAAGGGTTGCCGCGCAGAGCCGCAGACTGAACTGGACGTGACCGTATGGAGCCAAATACATGTACTACATATACATATACTCATGGGCCCCTGGTGCCATAGGCCCCCGGGCGTCGCACTGCCTGCCCTCCCCCATGGGACGGGCCTGCATGTGGGTGGGAGCCTGCGTTGGTGACTTGGTGGGCAATGCTGCATTGCATGGGGCCCATGCTGCATGCTCTCATCTCTCTTGGAAATACTCCTTGCTTTTTTTTTAGAGCAGAAGCCAACACTCGTCGATCTACCTCTCTGCGCTCTTCTCAACCTCCGTAATACTCGCTCGTCTCTGTTTCACCAAAATGTTCATCGTCATGGAAATATAGTAACAAGCACCTAGCTAGCTAGCGTTCGTCTCTGGTTGTCTAGCTAGGAGGGTAACGGAGTACTCTCTCCATTTCAAATTATAAGATGTTTTGATTTTTTTTTTGGATTCATTACTACTAAGCATCTAAATATGTATAGTGTATATATAAGTGCAAAACAAAAGCTATGTATTAACATTGGAATCTCTGGTGGCTGAAGAGTCGTATATACTTCCCTTCATTCTCTTCTAGAATCAGACCAAAGGCACGAGTAGTCTACGTGTAGATAACATTGACTACATATAGTGTTCCGTTCCTTCCATCCCTTCGTGTGTTTCACCGTTTTATCCTACCTTTCATCCTCCTTTTCTTCTCCGAGTGGCTGGCTACATGACAAGAGCATCGAAACACTCATGTTATCGCTGTGTCGAGTAAATGCATCACCATGTAGTGACATGTATCATATCACATATCGTTTTGGCTTTTTCTAGAGACACAACTTTCATATCTTACATCTATAAAACGCACAGCAAAAGCTATATATCTAGAAAATTCAAAGCAACCTGTTATTGTTCTCTAAGTCCTCGTAAAATCAATCTTATAGCTCCGTGGGGATCCGGAAGAAACGTTTATATAACCTCTTTTTGTTTGTTTGTTTGTTTGTTTGGCACACACTGGTAGTAGTGGAAGGTGGCAACACCCTCCAAATTCTACGTGTTACAGAGTGAACAAACTAAACGTGCGGTCAACTCCAGTAGTGCCTAGTGCGCGTGCGTGCGTGCAGCTTCAATCCAATTCCTACATTGGACGGCACTGCAAATCGCTGTACGTAGTGCTGCCGCTGCTGACACTTAGCTTGATACTGTTTCTAGAAGACGAAAAATCAACTGCTGATGGTACTGTTTCTAGAACCGCATCCATCGCGATCGAGTGATCGTGAATCAACAAAATCCTTCCTTTTATTTTGTTAAAAAAGAAAACAAGATAGATGCATGCCATGAATCCTCGTCGTCGTATCGTATGGTTGCGCGTCGCTGAAATGATGCTGCAGGAAAATGGTGGCCGGAGTGGGGGAGGAAAATGTTCCTGACTGCTGTAGGTAGGCCAAAATACGACGAGGAAGAAAATTTGACATTTTCTGGAAAGCTCGGAGTATGGCCATTTGTGAAAGAGGTGTCTGCGATAAGGAGGAGCCAGAACAGAGAAAGAGGAACCTTAGAAACTAAATTTATCATAGTCAACAGGGAGGTGATGAGGCAATATTTGCTTGAAAAGGTTATCCCAGCCATCAAAGATAAGTGGCCACAAGAAGACGCACACAAGACTATTTTCATTCAACAAGACAACGCTAGAACCCATGTTCGTCCAAATGACCCAGCTTTTCTCGAAAGTGTGGCGGCTACTGGTCTAGACATTAAACTAATGCAACAACCAGCAAACTCCCAGACATGAATGTTTTGGATCTTGGTTTCTTCAACTCTATACAGTCCTTAACCGAATGTGGAAATCCAGAAACTATTGAAGATCTAATTCATAATGTGGAGCAAGAATTTAAAGAATATAATGAGGCAATTCTGAATAGAGTATTCCTAAGTCTATAGTTGTGCATGAAAGAGGTCATGAAAATTGGAGGAGGAAATGGATACAAACTCCCACATATGAATAAGCAATGCCTAGAAAGAGAAGAGAGGCTACCTCATCGGTTGTCATGCGAGAATGGTCTTTATGCTACCGCACTAGCCCATCTAGCACAATTCGATTGAGTATCTTAGTGTGTTGCTATAGGAGATTTTGTAAAGATTATGCTAGCACATTTTCAGAGATTATTTTTTATTTATAGAGAGGAACAAAATATTGATTCAGAATCTATGTATGAGTGGGAAGGGCGGGCTTGGTGCAAGCGGTAGAGTCTTACCGCCTGTGACCGGAAGGTCCCGGGTTCGAGTCGCAGTCTTCTCGCATTGCACAGGCGATGGTAAGGCTTGTAACTGACACCCTTCGCCAAACCCCGCACAGAACGGGAGCTCTCTGCACTGGGTACGCCCTTTAATCTATGTATGAGTGGCAATACTTATCTGCAATGCTACTCCAAGGTGGCCTCATTCTCTCACTGGTCTCATATTAGCCTGCACATGCAAGAAAGCAACATTTCACCATTATTTTTCAGTCATCTATAGTTTCTCAGCTCAGTTTTTAGTCATCGATAGTTTCTCAGCTCAGAGTTAATTCCTGAGTTTTTTTCTTACTTTTTCTGCTCTTGTGGATATCACAAGCTCATTTTCCCAACATGAAGTCATCAATGAAGTCTACAGGTGAGAATTATAAAAATCAAAAGCCTAGTTACAAATATGCATACACATGACTAGTTCCACTGAGATTCAATACAGATAATAACATGGGGCTGCACACTGAGAATCATTGTTTTGCTGTCAAGATGCAAACTCTGGATTGCTACAGAGTCTCATAACTTTACTTAATGCAGACCAGTATCAAGCACCAAGGACTATCGACAGTCGTAAGCTATAGAAAGCACCAAGGATCACCTCTAATTTTTTATGTCATTTTGTTGCCTACTTTGTCATTTTGAGGATGGATAAGGCAGGAATCATTTTATTACATGTTCGGTGTTTCTCTCTAGTAGTCTTGGTATTATTCAGACTTTTCTGTGTTGAATTAGAAAATTCAGATGTGCAATTCTAGCAGTGTAAATGATCAATCAGTAACATGTTCAATCAGAAACAGTAAGGAACAGATTAACTAGGAAAGAATTCGTACGTACTCCTTCGTTGATGGCCTTGACGCCTTTGTGGCAGGGAGCACATATGGCGTTCCTCGGAAGCCTGTACACGGACACCATATCCTGTCCATATTCGTACGTACAGGGAGCACCAAGGATCGCCTTTGCAGCGTGCCTTGGACCGGAGAGGCAGAGCATTGAAATCAGATCAAAATTAGGTGTTTTAGAGCTGGTTTCTTCATCTCCATATCCTGTCCAGGCGGTAGACTGGTAGTGCGAGGACAAAGCTACCTACTGACGTGCTTATGAAAGAACATGAATTTGCAGTCAGCACAATGTGAACGAACATGCAACACTAAGCAGCTGCAGTGTGACCCAAAGATACTGACCGACAGATGACACTAACCGACAGAAGCTCACCAAACAAATAACATGAAGGAAAAAAATCATCGATTTTCAATATGCATGAAGGGTGAGCAACACAAAACAATCACTCTGATAAAGCAAGTACTCTTGCTTAACAACAAAATTATGGATCATCAATAGTCACAACTTGTGGTTACAGGTTCAACCGTAGCTATACAAGTCAAGGGAATGCAGTGAAAAAATTTCAGGACAAATCGCCATGGATAGGTAAAGAAATCAGAGGGAAAATCATAAACTTGCCAAGTCCTAAAAACCAAACCAATTAGAGAACAAGTCAGGAGGTATTCAGAGTCCCAATCAAACAAATCAGAATAAAAGAGAGATTTTTCCTTACCTCTTCACCCTCTTCTTCTTGGATCCAGAGGCTTCGTGAGGTGTTGTGGCAGCTTGAACGGGCTGTCGCGTCGGGGACCGAGCAGGCAGTTCTTGGAACCAACGGCGGGTTCGACAAGGGTGTCGTCGCGGGGAACGCCGAGGCCGAGGCGATGCGAGTCCTGGCTCCTGGGCGAGCCCGGCGAAGGGCTTGAGGTCGAGCAGTGACGTCGGGTTGTGTGCCGCCATCGGCAAGTCTAGGATCTGGCGCGCCGTACCTGGCCGCCCCTGACTAGCAGCATGGGCACGGCGAAGATCCATGGCCTCCCTACGCCAGCGCCAGCCCCTGGGGAACACGCGAGCGTAACGAGATCAGCACAGTGGATCCAGCCCCTCCTCCACTAGCAGCGGCGCCAAACATGCTGCGTTCAAAGCTAGGCCGGGAATCACCTTGTAGACCTCGACGCCACCGCCGCCTCCACTAATAGCGCCTCCTCGGCCGGTGCGAGCAGCGCGAGTCTCGTTGGGGAAACAGCAGGAAACAACGCACTCGACGAAGTCCAGTTGGGAAGGCGCAGCGATGCGCTCGGAAGAGCATGGTGTGCCAGCGATTTGGGGAAGAGCCTTTTACGCCAGTGCCATTAAAAAAGATGGCCTAATCGTCAATGCCCCTACAAAGTTGGTCTATCATTGCTGTCCCTGGGTTTGGAAACTTCTTTCGTCCAAGCCATTCCGTCGCCTCTCCGCTTGTTTTTTGCCGTTTGGGAGGCCTGACATGTGGGGTCGGGCATGGGAAATGACCCAGTTGCCCATGGGTATAGAGACAAAACAGGTCTCCGTGTTGACCGGTATTGACCGCTCTCACTCTCCCCATCTCGCTCGATTCCTCCTCTGTCCCCATCCCCCAAGCCCTAGCGGCGACAGGATAGTCACTGGCTACGGCGGCGGCGGGGAGAGAAGAAATCGATCCCTCGTTCCTGAGCCTCGGCATGGGATAGTGGTGCAACGAAGATAACGTTGCTCATCCTCTGCATTGGCAGCCCATGGAGGCGAACACGGCGACGGCCGACCGACCTTCCTGGTTTCGAGAAGGGTGAGTTCTATTTTTCCCCCTTGCTTGCTTGTTCGTGGTGACTATGGACAGTTAGGTCTAAGTGTGTTATGTGTGATTGCTGCCTTTTGTGATCGTTGTTGTTCATTTGTAGGATGGATCCAAATAGTAGCTACAACATAGAATTTCGGATTGTTGCTAAAAATACTCATGCGCCGTGGTTTAGCTTGAATGAAGTTCTGGATGTTGATGTTGCAAACTACTCAAATGTGGTGTCTGGCATTGTGGATAAGTATCCTGGGCATTACGGGGATGTTTTCAGTCTATTTTACTGGTGCCATGACACAAAGATGAACATCCCCTTGACCAATGACCAGCAGTTACTTGAGATGTTTGCCAAAAATAAAGCTAGCAAGTGCTGTTACATGACTTTAGCCTACCATAAACCCAACACTGACCCTCCTGTCATTCCTTCTTGGGATACCACTGCTAAGCAATATGTTGAACCCACCATGACTCCTTCCATGCCTTGTCCTAGCTTTGCAGAACCAAGTCAAACAAATAGTGAAAATACAGATGATGCAGTCCTTGCAAACCCAAATCCAGAGAATGAGTATGTGGATGTTGATGAGGAAGGGTTGTACATTGACCTTGGTCCACAGCACCCACCACCTCCACAACCTCAGTCTCAGCCTCAACCTACCAGCACACAAAATGAGTGCCCAAGTCCTGATAGAGCTGCATGCAATGAAAGTGACAATGATGATAGAGTTGTTTATGATGATAGTCCTGATAGAGTTGTTTTTGATGATGACTATGAAATTGACCCTGATGACTTAGATGAAATAGTGAAAGACCATGAGCCTGATCTGATGGCACCAGCTGATTATGACAGAAACAACCCCTCTATGGCTGTAGGCAGTATGTTTGTAGACATGTTTCAATTTAAAATGGCTTTAGCTACTCATGCTGCAATAAGAGAGAATCGGTATTTCATTCAAAAGAGTGATACAGGAAGGTACAGAGTGTACTGCCACTAGAGGAATGATGGTTGCCCCTGGAGAATCCATGCATCAACCATGAGGGATGGTAAAACAATTCAGGTGATATATATGTTCATTACTATTTAGCATTGTTCTTTGTTCATATTTAACATAGTCTACTGCCTTAACTTTGATGATTTGATTCATAGGTTAAGGTGAACCCAGCCAGCCATGACTGTCAGAGCAAGAGGAGGACTAGAGTCCCTATTGGCTGCACCCAGTACTGGGTTTGTGAGAAAGTTATGGACTGGCTCAAAGAAGATGGAACTTTGGGTACTACTGAATTGATCAAGAAACTCAAGGAACATTTCAAGGTGGAGATGCCCTACATGAGAGTGTACAATGGTAAGAATCTTGCCATTGATAAGATTTATGGTCCATGGGACAAAAGTTTTGACAACTTGTATAGATTTAAGGCACAGATTGAGAGTGAGAGTCCTAGGTCATTGGTTGTGATTGATAACCACATAATCAACAACAAGCTAAGGTTCAATAGGTTCTTTTTTGCAATGAAAGCTTGTGTTGATGGTTTCCTTAGGGGTTGTAGACCTTACTTGGCAGTAGATAGCACATTCTTGTATGGAAGGTTCAGAGGACAGTTATGCATAGCATGTGCAGTTGATGGTCACAACTGGATGTACCCAGTTGCTGTAGGTATCATAGACTCTGAAACAAATAAGAATTGGGTTTGGTTCATGGAGAGACTGAAGGATGCAATAGGCACCCCAGATGGTCTGACAATAAGCACAGACTGTGGACAGGCTATAATGCATGGGGTTAGTGAGGTTTTTCCACAGGCTGAGCACATAGAGTGCATGTACCACCTTGTGCAGAACTTTAAGAAGAGGTACAATGGCAAAATATTTGATGATCATTTATGGGCATCCTCTTATTCTTGGACTAGGTACATGTTTGATAAGCATCACAATGCTATGGCTAGAGCCAAACCAGAGAATATGAAGTACCTGCAAGAAACTCATAAGAAGTTGTGGAGTAGGAGCCAGTATGAAGTACAGAGCAAGGTTGACTATGTGACCAATAATTTAGCTGAGTCCTTCAATAATTGGATAAAGAAAGAAAAGGACAAGCATTTAGATGATTTGATGGATACCATCAGACAGAAGATGCTGATTAAATGGAATAACAGGAAAAAAGTTGCAAAGAGGCATGAGTGCCCTATATGCCATCAGTTGGGGCACCACTTGTACACTTACAAGAATGGCGATCCAGCAGACATTGCTGCAATGAAACTGGAAAGGTAAGCATTTCTTGAGTCATCTTGCAAATTTTTCTAATATGATGTCCTAACCGCTGTTTTCTGTTAACTGCAGGGGTCAGCCAAAGAAGAAGCTGAAGAAAGCTACTGTAGCCAACACAGAGACAAGTATTGTGGTGACCACACCTGCTGCAGGGATGGTTTTCCCTCCAAATGAGGCTGTGGACAATGCTGTTACCAAGAAAAGGAAGAGAAAGGCCTCATCCACATCTACAAGTGCATCAACATCTCAGAAGCAATTTTCTAGCAGGTATGATGGTCATTCCTCTCCCTGTCATGTTTTCAATTTTCTAGCTATGGACAATTTTTTGAATGTGTGTTTACTTCTTCAAGATCTGTAACTAGATCAAATGATCCTGTTCCTTTCCAAGCTGTGCACTGTGGCAGAACCTCCTAAGAAATCAGGCCCACGTGCACCTATCGATATCTCAACAGACCTCAGATAGCGTACACAAGTTCCCAACAACTTAACAGGTCTGTCGGGTGTCCTCGGGAAACCCGAATCATCCACGTTTCAAACAGGATCCCAATCACAGTCATTGCAGATTACAACATTTTTCAATATACATACCAGAGGTAAATAAGCGGAAGACTTAAGTTTAATATTACAAACCAGTTGTTTCAAACTTACATAACCATAAGTGTCATACAACCATAGTAGCGAGATAATATTACATTAACATTATTTATTTTACACAAACTAGAGCCTTGTCCAAAGGCCATTCATCATTCCTCATCATCATCGACTTCATATACTGACATGCAGCAGGGACCAAAACAAGCCTGCGCATGCGACTCACCTGCAACAAGGGTTAACAAACCCTGAGTACAAAAAGTACTCAACAAGACTGACCCGACGAAAAAGGGTGAAGGTCTTAGGGATGCAGGTGTTGGGTCAAGGTAGGGATGTAGAAAGATTCAAAAATTCTTTGCCAAAAGCTTACTATTCTTGATCCTAGTTTCAAGTTTTACCACTAAGTATTTTAGTTCAATATCTCCAACTAAGTGTTCATATCCCATGTTCCAATCCTTCTCGTTCCATTCTTTTTCTCATGTTTTAGTAATTTACCAGTCCTACATTGCTTCTGTAATGAATCGAGTCTCCATATCCGCGGAGCACCGGCAATTCGAATTGATTCAAGTCCCAGCTGGGGATTCCTTATCACACAACATATGTAGAACTTAATCTTGCATATATCAACCTCGCTACCGGATCCTCCCGTACTAAGCCGTCTCCACGCCACCCGAGAGCACAGCACACCTCAAATCCGGCCACATTCAAGCCACGAGGGTACATGCTACTCCCGCCATCTCACCACTCCCAGTGCGTGCGCATTCGTCTTAGTATCGGATTAGCTGAAGTAGGCTTACCAGAGTATGTGACCAGTACTATAAAGTGTCTCGTTCAGAAGATCCACAATGAGTGGCCTTTAAGCGACATAGTCGGCAACATTACCCAACAATCAAAATAAGCCACCCGACTAGTCTCTAGTTCATTCTATCTTCTTTCTTTCTTTCTTTGGCCAGTATGCCATCTTTGATTGTATCGAAATTTTTACTTTGAAAACCTACCATAAAGCATACTAAGCAATTCTACGCCTTTGTAAATGAAAACATCTTCAAGGATGGTAAACAATTAACAAGGTAGGTAATACATCAAGTAGGCAACATTTGAAGTAAATCAACTTAATGCAATAAGTAACATAAGTAATAAACTTTTCAAAGTAAACAAGGTAATGGTTTAATGCATAAACCGGGGCTTGCCTTCGTTGACGATCTCAGGTTCCGGATCAGTACCACAATTACCAAATCCCGCGACAACCGGGTATTCTTCCAGCACTTGTTCAACTAGAATCGTTTCACTCTCGGGTTCTACACGAAATGATAACATATGCTTTAATATGATGATAATGTAAATATGATGCTTTCACGGTACATGAAATGTAACAAC